ATCAGTATTTATTTGAAAAGGCCAATTTATTATGTATCTCATTTATTTTTAATGCTGTTCAGCACATGAGTGCCCTAAAATACTTAAGTTTCTTTAATGATGGTAGCAACTGGGCCTTCCAAAAAGTATTTTTTTTCCTCCCTTCTGTGGCATTGATGCCTCTGGTCCAAGAATGAGGTGAAGATTTGATGAACATCAGTGAGAATTCGTCAGATGTCAGCAATTATCTTACAGACATTTGTATATACAGTATTTGAACATTCTTCACCAATATCTGTAACAGTAAACATTCAAGAAATCACCTAAATGTCTCCTTTTAGGGGATAGATTAAATGGACCCTGTTACAAACATATGATTAAATGCTGCATGCTGTTCCACACCAAAAAAATCAATCTATATAAAATTTCATGAAACAACTTCCAAGATATAGTAATAAAATGAAGAGCAACGTTCAGAAGAGTGTGGAGAATATACCAACATTTATGTGAAAAGGATATATAATGTTAACATCCTTTATACATATAATTTTAGAAATAAGACCACTGACTAAAAATTTAAAAATAAGATGTTACATTTACACTTTAATATTATGCAAAAGAAAAGACAAAGGAGATTTTGTTGTCTCTAGGGTAACTGACTGGTATACTCTATTATACTTTAAGTGTTTTGAAGTTACTAAGGTCTGTTTTACACCCTTGTATAGAAGTAATTTAGTAACTTGTATAAGCAATCAGGGGTGTTTTGGCCAGAAGTTCTTTATTTGGGGGTAAAGATTTCCCTGAGGTCTGCTTTTTTGTTGTTGGTTTGTTGTTTTTTGGTAGTTAGGGTTTAGTCAGACAGGGTACCTCTTCACACAAAGAGGCTTGGAGGCTTACTTAGATGGAGGAAAATTGTAACAGCGCAGACTTGTGGGCAGGGAAGGAGAGACTGGGCCTTTTATTATTTCAATCTTCGTGACAGGTAGGTCATAGACCTTTTGTGTGATTCTCTAGTATAGGTTATTTTTTACGATAGTGATTTTAGGAAAATATTGTTCAGACAACTTTAGAATGTCAATTGAAAGTTACTGCTGGGAGGCAGAGGATGATAGGCATCTCTAAGACAGAAGAGAGGTTACTTTTAGGGGGAGTATGAAAAATGGGGAGGAAATATTTCCCAGAAGGCATTATCAGTATAGGAAAGAGTCCCAGACACCCTACTTCCTGTTATTGTACCTTGGACCCAGACCTACCCAGCAACAGAAAGTGATTCAGGTAGAACTTTTAGCATCAGGTAGACTTGATGGGTAAGAATTCTCCAGGGAAAATTGGATAATTCCCAACTGTACTGGGGAAGGCAATCTACATTATTGAGTCAATTGATTCAAATGTTAATGTCTACCATTATCCTCCACCTAGAGATACTCAGAAAAAAAAAAAAAAGTTTAATCTAGGTATCCTATAGCCCACTCAAATTGACACATAAAATCAACCATAATGTAGATGAAGCAGAATAGCCCTAAAATTGAAATTAAAGTCTACAAAAGTAGGCCAGGACCAACACAATAAAACTAACAAGTAATTGCTTGCTAAAATAGGGGATTTAAATAAGATCAGAATCTTCCAACATAATCTGAAAATGTCAGAATACAATTGAAATCACTCAAAATACCAAGAACCAGTAAAATCATAGCTTGAATTAAAAAAAGGCAATATATCAGCAATAACAGTGAGATGAATCAGATATGAAAATTATCTGAGAGGAATGTTAGAGCGGCCATAAAATGCTTCAATAAGCATTTTAAAAACAATGAAAAAAATTATACTATATTACCAATGTCATAGAAATTACATATATTACAAACTTTGGAAAACTTAAATATTTGGATTCCTCTAAATATTTAAGGAGGAAACAATCAACCTTTATAAATTCTTCTGGTAAGTTTTTTTTTTTTTTTTTTTTTTTTTAAGAAAACATATCCCAGATCTCTTTCAAAGGCCAAGACAATTTTGATATTGAACACTGGAAAGTTCATTATAAAAAGGGAAAATTACAGACCAAATTTTCTTTTTAACACAGATGTGTCATTTCTAAAGTTTGTATTAGGGCAACTTCCAGTTTCAGTCCTGACACACAATGAACTCAGACATCATCACTCACATCCTTAGAGCATGAAAAATTGAAGAAACTGAAAATAAGCCATGATTTTTCTTGTGCCTGACACTAAAACTGAGGTTGGATGGCAAAACAGCACCCCAAAATCTTGTGAGATAGGCACACTGGAGAGGTAGGGCAACTAAGATGTGCTTATCTGGAATAGAAGCTGTTCTAGCCAAATGGATATGAACACTTAAATGATAATTTTGAGGAACTGCTGGAGACTGAATATGGACCTGCACAGGATCAAAAAACTACATGGGGCCACTCTTTTAGGGGTGACAAGACCCGAATGTGTAGTTCCCATCATCCTACACAGTATTTCTGACTTTCTCAAACATACAGGCTACTAGTTATGCCTGAAATATGAGAAAACTGTCTGAAGAGACAAAGTGAACTTCAGAATCAGTCTCAGAAGTAATACAGATGTTAAAATTCTATGTAAGGGATTTAAAATAACTATAGTTAATATGTTAAGGATTTTCACTAAAAAGTAGACAGCATGCAAGAACAGATTAGTAATGTAAGTAGAACATGAAAACTAGAAAGAAAACATCAAAAGGAAACTAGACATCATAGCACTAAACAGAAAGAAAAAATGCCTTTGATGGGCACATCACTCTTCACCTAAGGAAAGAATCAGTGGATAGAGGTATATAGAAACCTCCTGAATTAAAATGCAAAGAGAAAAAAAACTAATTAAATAAAAAGAACAGAACATCCATGAACTTTGGGATAATTTTAAAGGGTGTAGCTTATGAGTAATCAGAATACCAGAAGAGGAAAACATAAAGAATGGAAAGGAATATCTGGAGTAAGTTATGGCCAATAGTTTTCAAAAAATAATTTAAATTTATCTCCACTAACCTAGAATTCCATGCCCAGTGAAATTATCCACTGAAAGTGAAGAAGAAATAGACTTTCTCACACAAAACTGAGGGAATCATGTCCAGCAGTCTGGCATTGCAAGAAATAATAAAATATATTCATCAGGTAGAAGAAAATTACATGGCAGGTGTTGGTATACATAAAGAAATTAAGAGCATTGAGAAAGAAATTAATGAAGATAAAATATTTCTATTCTTAAATTTAAATTTAAATTTTTAAATTTAACTGTTAATTCAGAGCATTAATAGTATGGAATGGGTATTTATGTGTTTAAGTGAAATGAATTACAGCTATGTCACAGGAGATGGGAAAGAGAAATTGGGAATACTCTATTATAAGGTGCCTGCATTACGTTACATATGAAATGGTAAAATGCTTTTTCAGAGTGGACTTGGATTATAAAAGCATATATTGTAATGCTGCAGGAATTGCTAAACATTTTTAAAGGAAATGTAAGTAGTGAAATCAAAATGGAAATCAAATTAAATCTTATTGGATGCTCAATTAAAATCAGAAGCAAAGAATAGGTAGGAGGGAAGAGAAGGAAGAAGAGACAGAAGAAGAGAAGGAGGGGGAAAGAAAGAAGGAAGGACAAAGGAAAGAAAAAAGGAAGGAAAGGAGGCAGGCAGGCAGGCAGGCAGGAAGGAACACAGGGCAAAAATAACAAATAGAATACAGTTGTAAAGATGGCAGGTTTTAATCCAGTCATATCAATAATCATTGTAAATGTTAGCTGTATAAATATGCCAGTTAAAAGTGGAGACTGATAGAGTGAATAAGACAAGACCCAACTATAGAAATCCAATTTAAATAAAAAGACTCAGATAAAAGTGAAAATATTTTATCAAGAAAATTAAACACAATAACTTTAATCAAAAGAAAGCTGGAGAGTTATATAAGACAAGTAGACTTAAGAACAAAGAAAATTACTAGTGATAAAGTGTGGCGTTACATAATTATAAAGAGATCATTTCTGTAGAAGACATACGTTTCTAAACCAGTAAGGACATAACAACAAACATTCTACACACAAGTTCTACAAAAATTTGTAGAACTTCAAGAAGAAGGAAACAAATCCATTTCTATAGTTCGAGACCTAAGAACACTTTAGTCACAGATAGATCAAACAGACAAAAACCCAGTAAGAATATGATTTTAAAAGCATTATAAATTGTTCCCCAGATGCCATGATGACATGGAGCTATGGGACCTGTTTGCCCAGCTGGATTTCAGTCTTGCTTTGGTTCTATCCCTTCTTTCTATGTTCCTAATTTTGTGAACGGAAGTGTTTACTCTGTACTATTACATATTGTATACTTGTAAATTGCTTTTAATTTTAGAGTAGCTCACTGTTACTAATAGGGCATTATGTAAAAATGTGGATGTGTAACCGATGTGATTCTGCAATCTGTATTTGGGGTAAAATTGGGAGTTCATAACCAACTTGAATCTAATGTATGAAATATGATATGTGAAGAGCTTTATAATGTTTTGAACAACCAATAAAAAAAAATTAAAAAAAAAAAAAGAAAAAAAAAAAGAAAAATTTGAAGAGAAAAGAGAAGAGAAAAGGGAAATTGCATGGTAATGGAGGGAGATCCTCATTGTTATACAAAATTACATATAAGAGGTTGTGAGGGGAATGGGAAAATAAACAAGGAGAGAAATGAATTACAGTAGATGGGGTAGAGAGAGAAGATGGGAGGGGAGGGGAGGGGAGATAGTAGAGGATAGGAAAGGTAGCAGAATACAACAGTTACTAATAGGGCATTATGTAAAAATATAGATGTGTAACCGACGTGATTCTGCAATCTGTATTTGGGGTAAAATTGGGAGTTCAAAACCCACTTGAATCAAATGTATGAAATATGATATGTCAAGAGCTTTGTAATGTTTTGAACAACCAATAAAAAAAAATTTCCATTCAGAAAAAAAAAAAAAAGAAAAAAAAAAATAGAGTAGCTCACAATGCAAAAGTACCTTGAGCCTCAGAGAAGACTTTGCATTAGAACTTTGAGCAAATTCAGAACTGTTGAGACTATGGGGACACTTGGAAATGGGCTAAATGTATTTTTTATTATAAGATAAGCTTGAGGGGGGGACATGGGTGAAATGTTATGGTTTAGATATGGTGTCCCCCCAAGTTTCATGAGAGATAGTGCAAAAGAGGTTTGGAGGAGAAATGATTGGGTTATAGCCTTAACCTAAACCCTGATGGGATTAACCAAGTGGTAACTGGGTCAGGTGGGGTGTGGCTGGAGGAAGTTGTTCATTAAGGGTGTGGCTATGGTGTATACATTTTGTATTGGAATAGTGTATTCTCTCTCTCTCTCTCTCTCTCTCTCTCTCTCTCTCCTCCCTGATCACCATGTGAGCTGCTTTCCTGTGCCAAAATCTTCTGCCATGATGTCCTGCCTCACCTTAAGCCCTAAGGAATGGATTAGCCTTCTATGGACAAAGACCTCTGAAACCGTGAGCCCTCTAATAAACTTTTTCTCCTCTATGGTTGCTGTGGTTGGGTCTTTTAGTTATAGCAGTTAAAAAGCTGACTAAAACAGAAATGTACATACACACTATTCTTTTTTAAAAAACGTTTTTTAAATGTTGATGGACCTTTATTTTATTCATTTGTTTATATGCGGTGCTGAGAAGCAAACCCTGTGCCTCACGCATGCTAGGCAAGTGCTCTACCACTGAGCCACAACCTCAGCCTTACATACCACTCTTTAGTCAGTAAAGTTGTTTCGTACCTGAGTACAGATGAATAATTCTGACACCACTATGCATATGTATCAGAATTAAACAAAAGAAGGACAGATAGTGGGAGTCAGCTTTCTTGGTGGGGGAAGGGGGAAGGAAGCTTCAGTTTGAATCTATAATGTCCCCCAAAGGCCCATATGTGAAAGGTTTGGTTTCTAAGGTAGCACCCTTGGAAGATGGAGGAATTCTCAGGGGCTGGGCTTGGTGGGAGCGATTTAGGTCTTTGGGAATATGCCCCAAGTGGTACTGTGGGACACTGGCTGCTTTCTCCTTCTCTCTTTTTTATCCAGGCATAAGGTGAGTGGCTTTGCCCTATCTTGCCAACCTTTCCTATGTGCCTCCTCACCAGAAGCCTAAAAGCATGGATATGAATGATTATGGGGTAAAAAATCTAAAACTGTGGTAAAATAATCTTTTTCTTTTTATAAGTTAATTTTCTCAGATATTTTGTTATAGTGATGGGAAGTTGACTGGTACAGGGACAAAATAAAATTGTATTTCATGTCATACTGGATTATGGTTGAAACTATCAGTATGACTTCATATTTAGCTTAATCTAGGTAAAGACAAATACCTACATACACAAATAGATTTTCCTGTTATGTCATCTGACAGATCTCCAAAGCAACAACACTCTATTACCAGTGATCAAAGGCAACACACAGTTTTGTATTTCTAATATCAAATCCAGTAAGAGCAATGAGGGTTTTTTTGGGAGAAGGTTGACTTTAGAACTGAAGAGAAGATAGCCAAGATAGGTCTGGAGCATCCTATAGTATCAGAAAGTAAAAAAATTCTAAAACAGAAACCAAACAATAAATGACAACCACTATAGCAAAAATGACGGAAATATATCATATCCAGATGGTCGCCAATGAAAAGAATCCACAGCAGTCAAATCTCCAACACTTATTTATAAAAAAAAATGATGTACTGGATTTGACAAAAATAAATGATTTAATAGATAAACAAATGAGAGAGAATAGACAAAAAATTTCTCTTGCAGAAAATTTTTCAACTAAGTAATAGAAATACCCCAATTTTCTTGTGATTTCCTTCCCAAGGATACTGTAGGAAAAAGGGATCAAAAATGTAATTTTATAATGGAAAAGCTTGAACAACAACATCTCAGTCAATAGGAGAATTTGATTATAATGTATCTCAGTGAAGATTTTTTATGCTTAATCTGCTTGGGTTTTTGGGGGGATTCAGGTATCTGATGTTCATTTTCTTCTCCAGGTTTGGCAAGTTTTCTGCTGCTTTCTCTTTCTCTGTTTATTTTTGGATACCATAAAGTGTACATTTGTTTACTTGATGTACTCCATGAGTTCTACAGATTTTCTTTATTCTTTTTCATTTTAAAAATATTCAGATCTCTGTGTATTTCAAGTGATCTGCCTTTGAGCTCATTAATTCTTTTTTCTGCTTGAAAGTTTTCAGTTTTGTCACTGTTTTTCAGCTCCAGAGTTTTGTTTTTTTTTGGTTCTTCTTACAATTTATTTTTTGTTGAACATATAATTTTGTTTATATATTGTTTTCCTGATTACACTTAGCTATCTGTCTTTGTTGTTTTGTAATTGATTGACTTCTTTAAGATGATTATTTAAAACAAATTTTTAGACAGTTTGTAGTTTTTCATTTCTTTAGATCAGTTTGGCACTTTAGTTTGTTCCTTTGGTGCTGCCTTGTTTCCCTATTTCTCACATTCTTTGTGCAGTTGAAGAAGTAGGCACCTTGCTAATCATTATATACTGGCTTTGGGGAAAGCCTTTCACCAGACAATCCATCCAGAGATTCTGTGGGTGGTGGCTGACAGGGTATATCAGCAGGCTTCCTTCTAGAGTCTTCAGGCCAACAGATCTGGTGCTAAGTTCTATGAGGGTGGGAATAGATCCTAGGTCTAAAGGTACATTCATGATTGTAAGTCTGTAGGAATTGGCCTGACACTGGGGTCCACTAGGGTTGGTCTGGGACCAAGGAGCTGGCCTGGGGCTGGGACACACCAAATCACTGGATCTATAGGTATAGACCTAGTTCTAGGTTTACTTAGTTACAGGATCCACTAAGACAGAACTAGATCATGGGGCCACAAAACTCCCCGTTTTTTTTTTTTTTTAATATCTTTATTTATTGATTGATTTTTTTTTGTGGTGCTGAGGATTGAACCCAGGGTCTCACACCTGGGAGGCAACCTCTCTACCCCTGAGCTACAGCCCCAGCCCTGTTTTTTATTGTCAATGGACAAGGTGTATTTTGAAGAACTAGAAATAGACAAGACAATTTCAGTGAAGACCAAATTGGAAGTATCAACACTATAACATGTTAAGACTTGATACAAAGATATAATAATTAACAAGTAGAATACAAATAGCACAATAGAACTAAAAAATAGTCCATAAAAATGTTTTTGTGTATACATTTTATCTCCTTATGGTGTTGGGCCTAGAGCCTCAGCTCATGAGTGCTGTATGATTCTTGGTCTTTATGAGTTGACCTGGAGCTTGGGGTAATGGGAAGAAACTTGGTGCTTGACTTAACCCAGAGAATGAGTCTTTGGTGCTGGCCTGGTTTGGGTCCATGAAGGATGGCCTGGCACTGGGGTTCACCGGTAATGGCTTGCTGCTGGGGTCTGCAGCAAAGTTAGATCCTCACTTTACTCTCCTTACACCATTTGGATGGTGTCTGCCCTGCACTAGGCAGTGAAAGCTATTCTTCCTATCCTCTTCCCAGCTTTTCTTGTTTCTCTGTTGCAGCTAAGTAGTATATTCTCTCACTTGAATTCCTTAGATCTTGTGAAGGTATTTTTTGCATATAAATAATTGTTCAAACAGATATTTCTCTAGGGGCATGAGTCCTGGAAACTCTTATATTCTTTTACTAACACATTCTTGTAAGGATGTAATGATAATGGCACTCTGCCTCTGAGGTCTTTTCCTTGAAACTGAAAATCTAAATTTGATCATGACAAAAAGATCAGGCAAACTTCAATTCTGTGACATTCTATAAAATACCTGATCAGTACTCAGTACTGCTAATGTCATATAAAAGAAGTAAACTCTGAGAAACTGCCACAGTCTACCTGAACTTAAAGAGACATAATAACTAAATGTTATATAGTATCCTGAAGGGGGTCTTGAGACAGAAAAAGGACATTAGGTAAAAGCTAAGAAAGCCTGAAAAAAAAAATATATATATATATATATATATATAAGTTTTAGCTAATAATAACATGTTGATGTAGTATAGTGGTTGTGACAAATAAACCATACTAATGAAAGATGTTAAAAATAGGAAAACTGAGTTTGGAGTATATTGGAATACTCTGTGCCATTTTTAAAACTTTTATGCACATTTAAATTATTTTACAAAATGTAGTTATTTTTAAAATTGTGTCAATGTCAACATAAATAATTATGAATTTAACAATGAACAGAAAAAAGAAAGAAAGAATGTTGCATAGTTATGGGGATAGAGAGTGTGTTAGCTTTCTATCACTATAATGAAATGCCTGAAATAATCAACTTATAAAGAGAAAATGTTTATTTTGGTTCAGTTTGGCAGATTCTACTCTCTGATTAATTAGCTTTATTGCACTGGTGCTATGGCAAGGTAGCACATTGTGGTGGGAATATGTGGTGGAGTGAAACTTCTTATCTTCCAGAAAGGGAATAAGAAAATGATGATGAAGAAGAAGGAGGAGGAGGAGAAGGTGGAAGATGAGGAGGAAGAGGAGAAAGAAGGAGGAAGAAGAGAAAGAGGAGGAGAAAGAAGAGAAAGAGATAATCAAATTCCACAATACCCTTTGATGGCATGCTCCAGTGAGATAAGTAACCAAAAATTTAACATATGGTCCTTTGTAAGACCTTTAAAGTCTAAATTATAGCAGCAAGACATATGAATTCTATTTGATTAGTGTCTTTTGTGAATTTGAAAAAATGAAAATGTTACATGCATGGAAAGCAGTGATTCTAAAATGTGATTTACAATACTGAATGTAGGAACAAAAAATAGTAGAATAAAGTGAAATGTACATCACAGCCAATTTGAACTCATTCTAGGGATTTTAAAAAAATCTTTATTATAAAATGATCAATTGGTATAACTCATCAGATTAATAACAAAAAGAAGAAGAATTATATAATTTCCTTAATAAATATAAGGAGATATTTGATAAAATTATAAATCATTTATTAATGACATTTAGCATGTAGAAATAGAGGAGAACTGTTTTTGTGGATAAAATTTATCCACAAAAATTATAGTTTGCAACAATGGCTTTAATGGTGAATTACTTTAAGACTTTTATTCAAAATTCAACATGGAACCAGATATTGTTATCTAATATAAGAAAGCAAGATAAATTAAGTAGGAATTATACAATAAAAAAGAAATAGTTGAACATTAAAGCATTTTTATATCCATGTATCAGTGGTAATTGGAAAAAATAAAATAAAAGGTACTTTTGACAATGGCATAAAAACATGAAGTGCTTAGAAATAAATCTAAAAAAAAAATTATAGGATCTATCCCAACATCTTCACCAAATATGTCTGAGAGAAATTGAAAGACAATAGAGTATATGGGAAAGCATCCCATATTCCTGATTTTGAAGACTACTATTGGCAAAGATATGAATTCTGTCCCAATTGGTCCATAGATTTAGTATAATCCTAATTAAAACTCCCCCTGTATTTTATTGTGAATTGGCAAGGTGGCTCCATGATATATTTTAAAGGACTAGAAATAGACAAGTCAATTTTAATTAGGATCAAACTGGGAGTATTAACCCTACCACATATTAAAATTTGATACAAAGATATAATAATTTTCTGACATTTTTTATTGCCCCTGGAGTCCAAGAGATCCTCAAAATACTAATTATTACTCAGAACCAAACCCATTTCCAAGCCTCCTCAGATTTCCTCTCCTGAAACAAGCATACCAACCAAACCACGCTAAACCACAACCAACTGTATCAAAGCAAATAGTGTAAAAATAAAATAAAACTCCAACATAACAAGTTCCATAGTTCTGAGTTTCCTATTTCTATTTTATTTATGGTTTATCAATATCATTTGCTTTCCAGTATCTTGGAATGTCTCAACTCTCAAAGACCAATTTTAAAATTTTCTGGGAATTATTTTCTGTATCTCTAGAAACAATGTAGGGAGTTTATCCAGAGTAACCCACTGAAGACTGATTAGGGGAGACCAAGACTTTTGAATCATCTTTGTAGAGCCTTCTAGAGATTAAACATCTATGTCAAACAGCCTTAGCAATTTACCAGTAAAGTTGTGAGGCAGTTGTTTCCCCAGCAAAATTTTTGCAATATTTTTAAAATACTAGACTCATAACCCCAATCCCTTTTGGGACTTCTTTTAAAAAATGAAGTAGAAATAAGAAAGGTGGAATCCATGGATTAGGTACAAGTTGAAACTGAACATTTAGGGCATCTCAACAAGCACCAAATCAATTATATTGCTTTTTCTACTCTTCACTTACAAACCATCTGGGGCTGTCATGTAGCCTCAGCCTCTCTTTAAGCACTGTCAAGAAGGAATTGTCCAGATTGTCAAGAACACATGCCTTACACTGCTCCTACAACATTTGTATGAGGAATGCGGCTCGTACAACAATGGGTGAAATTATATAGTGTTCAGGAAGTCCGTAAGTATGAGCAGCCCCAGGATAACATAAATGTTTATAAAGCATCGTCAGCAGTTAGAAATTTCACACCTTTGTCCACCAAGCACCTAATTTATTTTTGATTTCTTTAAATTTTTCTTTAGTATTACATTCCCAATGTCAGACTATTTTCAGACCCTAGAATATATTTTGGTCTTTTCAGATTTCAGAAATCTTACCTACATTTGCAGATGCTTCTCTTGTACCCTTGGCAGATCTTTAGAAACTCAGTCATTAAAAATTGTTTTCTTTCATCATTACAGAAGGGACAAAGATGGGCATGAGGGGGAATTCACAATGATTTCAAATGGTAGATGGCATTTTAGGTATCAGTAATTAGAGTAATTAAATTGCAGCTCACATTATTTCACATATCTGAGTACTCTTGAGAATTTTGTTTGACTAATAACTGTCAATGCGCGTACTAAACACAAAAATATAGCTCCTGATCTCATAAAGCAACCAGCTAGCCTGACTTGATAGATGAATAAATATCCATGCATTCTAATTTTAAGGAAAAAAAACTTGGAAATGATACATTATTCTAGGTTAAAAAATCAGAACTTTTTTTTATAATACATCATTCAGATATGAACTCAAATCTTTGCACTTACTCATGTTTATGAACTCCCAAGGATGTTCATTTAATCTTGATCATATTGATTCTCTATCATCCTTTTTATTCCAGTGTATTGTTATTCTAAGGAAATATTTTTCAAAATTCTTAGTGGTTTGTTCTTGCTGACACTGCATGGTTTTGTGGGAGGGTACTGGGGATTAAACTCAGGGATCCTCCAGCACAAAGCCACATCCCCAGCCCTATTTTCCATTTTATTTAGAGACAGGGTCTCACTGAGTTTTTTAGCACCTCGCTTTTGCTGAAGCTGACTTTGAACTCTCAATCCTCCTGTCTCAGCTTCTCCAGCTGCTGGGATTACAGGCCTGCACCACCGCGCCTGGCTGACATTACGTTTCTGAGGCCCAATGTTTGCTGACTCATTCTGGACCTTCTGAGGCGGTGAACAGGGAGGGGTATTTCTATGTGTTAAGTAATATCTCCAAGGAATTGAGCATGGAATGGCCAATTACTGAAGATGCCATGATTTAAATGTCATGACAGTTTTATTTTGCTCACATCTTACAGACAAAATCTAGATATTTCATTTGAAAGGAGGACAACTGCAGAAGAAAAGCTTTGACTTAGCTACCAACTTGGCATCATTACCCTGGATATTCTAAGGAGCATTTACCAGTTATTAGCTTACTGTACAGAGGTCAGGTTTGGGAAGTTAGAACAGATGACTTCCAAGTACCATTACATTCTGAAAAGTCTTATGATCTCAAGATTGCTATGGGATAGGTGAAGAATTTTAAGGGCACAGATAACTCAGCAGGTAAGTAAAACTGTAGTGACCCCAAATGAGAAGAAGAGCTAGCAAAAATTTGAGCCTTTTTTCACATGTAGAATAAGATGATGACTTATTTACCTTACTACTCATATTCACCCACAGAAAGTGCCACAAATAATCATTCTATAGTTTCCCTTAGGTGATTTCTTTAGACTCTGTGGTGGAGAGTCGATATAATATTAGAGTCCATCCCGGTTTTATGGAGAATTATGTACTACATGATTATAATGCTTTAAATTCAGATTAACAAACATGTAATCAAAGACTTGTAGGAGATAGCTGTTGTAAAAGACAGCTCACTTATTTTATTCTTCTCATTTTAATGCTTATTTGGAATTTGGTTGAAATCTGTCTTTTACACTGTGTTTTTCAATCCGATTAAAATAATCAGTGATCATATTTCTTTGAAGCTAAACACTATTACTGCCTATGAACTATGAAACCATTAAAAGCAAGAGTACTGAATGAAAATTTCTCCATTAAAATTGTTTGGTTATAAGTAAGTGAGAGAACAATATATATTATAGTAAAAGGTCAGAAATAAAACATTAGCATTATTAACTTTCACCTTAAACACTTGGCACCCTTCAAAAGTCCTGCAGGGTATTTTTTTTTTTAACCCGAGTTTGGGTTCTTTGCACGCTAGAAAACATGCAGGGCTGCTGCTGCAGATTGGAAAAAGAGCTTGAGGTCAGAGGTCGACACAGTGAGGGAGTTTGCTCTTTAAGAGGTTATCTGTGGATCTGCAAAGCCAAAGTGTAATTGGGTTTTGTGATGTGATTTTAGTGAGTAATTGTATATGATCTTAGATAGTTTCAAAGACAAGCTTGGAAGATTTTTCCGGGCTGTTTGTGATAGCAATTTTAGGGATTGTGTGCAATCTTGGATAGACAATTCAGAATGATCAAAAATAGCCATCAGAAGTGATAATGGCAAGTTACTTTATGTGCCTTAATTCTATTTTCAGAGCATTGATTCAAATATAATGTAATGGAATGTGTTCCTTCTCTTTAGGACATTACATTGCTTAGGAAAATGAAGATACTTAGTTTTCATGGCTGGTATCAGTCTGTCAATTTTATGTCATCATAATGATGGCTTTCAGTTTCTCTGAGTTTGAACTTCAGTTGCAGATTGCTGAATGCTTATATAGAAAGAAAAAGGAAGTTAAAACATTCCAATTGGTTGTTGAATGTGGACCTTTTTTTAGCCTCTTAATTTGTCAAGTTTCTGATTCCTGAATATTCTAAACAATGAGAAATAAACATTTCCTTATTGTTTTAGTTGTTTAGGGTTGCCTTGATTAAGCTGTCACTGCTGTCAGTTATGTTCTTATAAGCCTGGTTGGATCTATTTCATGTTAGGAAAAAGCTCAGATAAATCCAGGAAAGCTTAATGTTTATCCAATGTGAAAATAATTACTCAAAAGTGTTATTCTTAATCCAGATAATTAGAGTGAGGAAGGAAAGATCAGTGTCATTGTGAATTATGCCCTGGCAATTGACTCTTGGTCCTTGTAAGTTTCAGGTGAAGATGTGAATGGATAAAGGTTAGATTAAACATAATCCAAAGTAGCTGCAACCTTAATCTGTTATGATACAAGGATGATCACTTAAAAAGAGCTGGATTGTGGGATTGTTTCTGGTTGGATAAGATGCCGCTCGACTGGGACTAGTCTTAAAACATGCTTAGCACCATGTCACTGCAGCTGCAAGCACTTGTGCACGGCTGCAGCCTGCCACCACCACAGGCGCTCCTGGACTCCAGCTTTGTGTTGGCGTGTCACACTTCCATGATATCTGGGCTTCACATTAACATGCCTTGCAATGGTCTGTATGGAAAAAAATATTTCCTGTGACCTTGTGGCATCTCTTCTGGGTTGTAATAAGCATGGATTTGAAATCTGCTAAAACTCCAGCATAGAGTAAGCAGCCATTTGTTACCTTAAACAATTAGAAGGTACATTTGTAACTGAGCTTAATGTTGCTCTGATTCAACAGAGAAACTTGTTTTAAATGTGATTATTTTGAGTAGCATGCAATGTTTGCAGAACTAATTATCTGTCAAGTATTTTCAAAATCAAATTAGGTTTTTCTAAATATTTCTGTGGAGTTAAAAGTGAAAAGAGTATGAATAATGAGATCCCCAAATAGTAGAATCTCAAAATTCAGCCATATTTTAATTAAAAGGAAGAAATATTGGGAGTTCCATTTATTCTCACAATAAATTTCGTAAATTTAGCATGCTTAATTTCTGCATGGCAGAGCTGGTTTGCTTTGATTACAGAAAATGGAACCAAAAATATTTTAGCAATTATGCGTGAAACCTTATTGTTTTAACAGAAAGCAGTGCGATTTCATGACAAGTGAATTTTAATTAAAATTTGAACATGTAGGGCTGGGGTTGTTGCTAAGTGGTAGAACACTTGCCTGGCATGCATGAGGGACTGGGTTTGATTCTCGGTATCAGATACAAATAAATAAATAGCATAAAGGTACATCAATAACTAAAAAAATTTTAAAAACAGAAAAGAAAGAAAGAATTTGAACATTTAATCAATTATTATGGTTGTTTATTCCTCCACAATAAAATTATATTACAACATATTACATATCGTTGCTGAATATTAAAGAAAATAACTAGTGGAATGTAAAGCTAATAAGTCCAATGCTCTTTAACACATGTTTAGTTTTCTTTGGAATATTGGAATATTCAAAGTCATAAAATATTAGATTAAATATTTTAATAAAGCATATTTTAAAAACACCACTGAAATAGATCAATATTTCAATATATTTTTAACCAGAATCCAAATTTATTCTAATACTGTCCTTGGATAAATATATAACATCACATGCTATAAATATAACAGATGTGTTTCCAGTTACATTACATTAATTGCTTCCATATGTACTTGTGAAAAATTTGTTTTTCAAAGGCCATAAACATTTGTTGAGCATTCACCACCCATATTTAGGCACTTGCTCCATATTTTCACAAATATTTAATGTCCCTAATTTATGCAACTGATGTGTTACCAAGGGACGATTGTTGCCAGACAGTGGTACAGGGGCTATGGATATGCAATGATCTAAACAAAGTCTCTGCTCTTACAAAGTTTAAATTCTTATGTTTAGAGAGAAAATATAAAAAGGAAATGTACAAGAGCTTAGCAAATGCAATGAAGAAAAAAGTAAGGTTAGGAATTTAGAAACAGGGCCTGGTGGATTAGGATTTAAGATGAGGTTAGGGAGAGCCTCATAGAGAAGGCAAGATTTATGTCAATGGGATATATGGTGCCCTTGGTTTAGGGGGACTAGCTTCAGCATAATTACTTTTGCCAAACAGAACAATTTCCAGGTGTATTGTTTTTAGATATTCAAAACAAAATTATCATTTCAAGACTTTTTAAATAAGTCTGACTAAAGTACTAGTTTCCCTATATTTGAAAAGTATTCAAATTGAACAATCTTTTTTTTTTTTTTAAAGAGAGAGAGAGAGAATTTTAATATTTTATTTTTTAGTTTTCGGCAGACACAACATCTTTGTTTGTATGTGGTGCTGAGGATCGAACCCAGGCCGCACACATGCCAGGTGAGTGTGCTACCGCTTGAGCCACATACCTAGCCCATTGAACGATCTTTTAATAAAATGTGAGTCTAAAGATTTGTAGACACATTGACCTCTTAATTAAAAAATAAAAAAACCCCACACCTGTGAATTAAACCCAGGGATGTTCTACCACTAAGCCTATCATTTATATATATATATATATATATATATATATATATATATATATATATATATATATTTATATTGAGACAGGTTCTCATTAAGTTGCAGAGGCTAACCTCAAACTTGAGATCCTCCTATCTCAGCCTCCTGAATAGCCAGGGTAACAGTTGTGCACCACCATGCCCAGTTGCTCTCTTGAGTTTGAAGAATGTCTTTATCTTTCAGGAAATGAAGGGAAACACATGGCTCTTGATATTCAAAATAATACACTTATATTCTTGTAAGGAAGAATAATAGCAAAGAGAAAAATTGCCTTTTGGCACTTGATTATGCATTTAAGACTAAGAACTGTGCTATTATTGTGTGTTCTACTATGTACAAATGATGTGTATTAGCTTGGCCTTGCATTGTGAGTTAGTTGACAAAATAAGCCTGATATTCAGTGTGTGTAACAGTCTTAGCTACCTAGTTTGTGGGGAAAAAAAATCACTTTTTCCTCCTTAATTTTCAAACACCATTTAATTGTAAATATTCCAAGTTATACTTAAAAATTTTTTTGAAAAGTTTTTGTCATTCATTTATATTTTAATATAAGTGAATTTACTAGAAGATCACTGGAGGAGTAAATTTTGCAGAGGAAGAAAAGGAAATGAATGTGAAGTTAATAGATCCTCAGACAAGAAGAGAAAGGTAAAAGATACAAAGGAGAGAAAACTTATAGAATATGGATAAGGATAGGCCCATCAATCTGGATTCACCAGCAACAGCTACTACAGCCTTTGAGGAAAGGTTGGATGGCAAGTAAGGATGGGATGTCATGGGCAGGAACAACTATATAATACTTGAGAACAGTCAATCAAATGCACCAAGGGCAGTGTTGGCTCTCCATAGGTATGTTTCATATGATTCTCTTGATTGTTTGGATTGTCCCTTGGGTTTGGATGAAAGACTAATTATCCCATCAAAGTAGCATAAATGTGCAATATGATTTCTCATGTTTAAAAATAGTCATTGCTCACCTAAAACAATGAAATCCCCATACACAGAGAAAGAGGGGTTACTCATGAAACCTTATAATGACAGGGAGTAGACATTTATAAAAAGCAACCATCAGGATCCAATCTATTCATAGAATGCTTGCCATAGCAGAAGTTATTGTAACTCATCAGTACATTTCACAAAGGAGAGGTATCACATAACACTTCATTGATTCAGTATGTAAAACAAATAGAAATTATTAGTGTCCTAGGAATAAAAAACAGCTAAGTGAATATAAGACTATTATCTGTTTTTAAAAAATATTATCATATACCTTTTTGCATATAATATATGATTATATAAATAATTTCACTTAAAGGTGATCTACTATGACCAATCCTTTAAATAAAGACACGAGGAACAACTGTGGTCATTAATACTATTCATGACTTGATATCTTCTGAAAGTTCTTACCAAGAAAATAAGACAAAGGCATATATAAAACTTATAACTCTCAGGAAGAATGCAAATCCATCACTATTAGCAGATTATGTGATTATTTTTCTAGAATACCCAAGAGGGTCTGCTGATAAACTATTAGAACTAAGAGAGGCATTAAGTGGCAGGATATAAAATAAATATGGAATATTAATTACTAATTAGAGTTTTTTCATGTTTTCTAAGAAATGATGTTTCTATTGAAAAATAAAAAAAGAAAGAATTTCAATCATAGTTTTAAAAATTATTCTTGTTAAAACACCATTGTAAGAAACAGGTAAATGCAGATTGAAACTAGATCTCCAATGCAACAGTGTTGAGAGGTGGAATCTAATGGGAGGTGTTTAGGTCATGAGGATTCTGTCTTTATGAATGGGTTAATGCTGCTATAAAAAGGGCTTATAGAAGTGTATTTGTTCTCTTCCTCCCTGCTGCCATGGAAACAAAGAACTTTGTTCCTCATCATGTGTAGAATATAATACTCAAGACACCATCTTGGGCTTCCTGGCCTCCAGAACTGTGAAAAATAAATTTCTATTCTTTATAAGTCACACCGTTTGTAGTATTTTTTTTATAGCAGCACAAATCAGACAGAACAGGAATTCAGAAGAACTCAAGGGGAAGGAATCAGGCAAGGATATGAATAGCAGAAAACAGGAATCCTTGCAGGTCGTCTTGGAGTTGGTGCATTTGTATTTTCCATTAAACAGCAAAAATTAAAGATTGACAAATAAAATAACTGTGAAAATTTCATATTGTAAAGGGTGCTGTGACATATAAGCTAAGAACACATATTGGTATAGATTTCTTGGAGAACATTTTGTATAAAGAGCAGTACAATATTCATACCTTTAGACTCATAACTACATTTCTAGAATTTATCATAAGAATACACACACACACAAAACTAAGTAAAGCAGCGTTCATCACAGCTTTACTTAATAATAAATAGTACTAAGTAACTTCCACAAAGAAAGCAAAATTAAATAACTTATGGTTAAATCTGGTTGTTGGAGTGTTTTACAGTCAACTTATAGTTTAATTTTGATGTTAGAATATTTTATTGTCAATTTATCATCGGAGTTTCCAAAGTAAAATATACAGTGTAAAAAAGTGATCCATAAATTTAGAAACAACAACAAACAAGATACAAAACAGTGTATCATAACTTATCTCACAAACACACAGGCATATACAAACAAAAAAAAGGTGGGGGGTGGGGGGGAGAGAGAGAGAGAAAGAGAGAGAGAGAGAGAGAGAGAGAGAGAGAGAGAGAGAGAAACATTGATACAGTGATATTAAATTGTTATTCCAAGTATGTACTTTCGGGTAAGAAGTTTGGTGGAATTATGAGAGAAACTTTAAACATTGTTTTGATTTGTAGAAATGTCTATGTGTACCAAAAGGAACTTTCCAACATTTTCTTTTGCTCTTTCATGTTATATTGCCAATGCAAAGTAGAGGGTTATGATTTAATGTAAAGACATGACTAGCTATATTGGCAGCAGTATGTACAGTCATTCTAATTGGTGGTACGCCACATGATGGACAGGACAGAAACCATGGCATACCACAGAACTGAGAGCAGTTTCCATACCTCAAGGCCCAGTATTAGTCTTGGCTAAAGTACTACCTGATCGTAACAAATACTATACTTTAAAAGTAATTTCATGTTGGCATACATTTAACATCATTTGATGCTTTTTAGCTAAAGTTACTGTGTTTTAGTTGTGCTCCTGAGATGAATTTAGTATAGATCTGCTTTCAAGAAGTCAAATCTCTCCACCATCAGTCATTATCAACATTTTTGGATCACTATTATTAATTTGAATTAAAGAAGTTTATTATTTGTTACAAAGAGATCACTCAAAAAATGCTTTTTCTTCACTTTTATGTCTTTATATGTCCACTTAGAGCTTTTGCCTATTCATGGGCTCAGCCCAATACCTCATCGTGTGGATATCGTGACTTTAACACGTGCCTTCCCTGCTAAACTATGTGTAACATGAAGACAAGGACAATCTCCGCCTTGCTCATCCATCTCTTTGTAGTACCTTATCCAAGTCCTGAAGCATCTCAGGAACAAAATATTTCTGTTAATTGAATGAGTGGAAGAAGCTCCAGGCATTCAAGTATGTTTATGGCAACATCTCAAATCATTCACCTTGCTTCTCAATGATGTCTATCCTTCTCAAGATTGGGGAATTCAGAATTCATAATGATATTCTTTTAGTTTTGATTCCAATTCTTTTCTCAATCTCTCCACCTTCCTCGTCACACATTTAAAGTACAGAGAACGTAAGGTAGCTGTGTAAAGAACCAACTGAAGCCAATTCTGGTAGGAAACACTTGCTTGTTTTATTTAATCAGATAACACAAAATAACTGGTGAATATGTTCTTTCTTATAATTTGGCTCAATTGACTGGTGTTTTGGTCATCATGTTTCTACTTACACCAGTCTCCCATGGAGTTCAATTTCACTTTTCTCTGTGTGTGTTCTTGTGTGTGGTAGGTAGAATAGTAGTTCCTGAGGATTCCCACTCTGTAATCCCTGGAACTGTGAATATGTTACCTTACATAGCTAAAGAGACTGCAGATGTGATTTAGGATACAGATTTTGAGGTGGGGTGATCACCCTGAGATATCTGGTGGCTCCAATCTAATTACATGATTCCTTTAGAGGTAGAGAAATTTTCCTATCTGTATTTAACAAGATGTGACAATGAAAGACATTTTCAGAAAGAGGTGACATGGCTGACTTCAAAGATGGAAGACCAGGTCCTGAGCTAAAGTCTACAAGTGGCCTCTGGAAGCTGAAAAGGGCAAGAAAACAGATTCTCCTCTGGAGCCTCTGTAAAGAACCCAACAACACTTTCCTTTAGCCCAGGGAGACCCATGCTAAACTTCTGACCTACTGAATTGTAAGGGAATAAATTGTGTTCTTTTAAGTGAATAAATTTATAGTAATTTGTTATAGTGTTAGAGAATAAATATATTGATAATTTTTGATCAGTTTATGTGAATCTATATTCTTAGTTCTAGAAAGTTATTTTAATAAAAATTATTAAAAATTACATTTTCATAACAGCATACTGTTTAGCTAAGAAAATTTAAATACTTGTGGATTTTTTAAATTGGCCCTATTGGTTAAGAGAAAATATAATCAGGTAAGGCAGATGGGATTTTAATAGGTAGGGCCATGTTCCTCCTTCTTTGGGGGAATTTTGTGGGAATCATTATGTATAGTTAGACTTGGAGTGTATGTGGTATGGACATGTTTTCCTTGACTGAGGAGACGGAGAATGGTAGAAGGGCTGTGGGAGATGGAAACTGTCTTGGTATTTGTGGTCAGGTTGGTGAAATATTTGGTGGCTTGTTGATCTTATATATGGCTCTTTCAGTCATAATCTTTTGGCAGTGTGACAGTATCCTTCATCGGGAGTTTTCTAATATTTGACTTAATATCAACATGGGAATAAAGAAATGAAAATAAGAAACTCGAAGTTTAAATACATTATACAAGATCATGGTTAAAATTGCATTAGAGGTTAATCTTTGGTTTCTTTGATTTCTATTTCCATTTCTAAGTGAATAAAGTAAGTAAAATCTTTAAAAGTTAACAAGCAACCAATTTTTAAATACATATTTTTTGTTCTTCCAAAGTATATCTATTTAAAAAGTTTATTAAAGTCTTCACTCTTTGAAATGATACAGGTATCTTCAAGTTTAAAAAAAATTATTCTCCCATTTGGCATATGTATTAGTTTCCTACTAACTGCTATAACAAATTGGCACAAATTTAGTAGCTTAAAACGACACAAATTTCAGACACAAGTCTGAAATGAAAGTGAGATGCTAAAATCAAGGTTTGTGCAAGGCTAGATCCTTCTGGAGGCTCCAGGCAATAGTCTGTTTCCTCACTTCTTTCAGCTTCCAGAAGGATAAGTTACTGTGGACAGGTTGGTGGACAGGTTACTTCTTGTCTCATGAGCATATCACTGCACTCTTGACCCTGTCATCACAGCTGCTTCTCTGATTCTCCCTAATCCCTATTTTAAGAACTTTTGTGATTGTATCAGTTTCATCCAAATAATGCATCTCCCCATCTCAAATTCTTTAGCCACCTGCAAAACTCCCCTTTGCCCTGTCGAGTAACAGGTAGGGGTTCTAGGATTGGGATACAGGCATATTTACAGCCTACCACAATATAAACTAGAAATCATAAATGCTCTGAAGTCTTTCAGTATTGCTATTCTTACCTTAAAAGTCCAAAACCAACCTTTACAAAGGAAGATTCTGTGTAAAATATCCTCAACTATTATTTCAACCAGCATACTCCATGTAGTTCACAATTCATAGATAGTAGAACTACAGAGTTTTCAGAAACTGGAGAAAATATATATTGCATAACTTCTTTGAATCAATGAGAAGACTGATTAAAGATCTTAAATTATGTGCCCAGAGCCACTGACCAAACTTAGAAGTAAAACAAGGGCCAGGAAAAGACACAAAGAAACACTTACTGAATATAGTTCAGTTATGTGCCAGACACTGCATATTTTGTACATCTTCTGGGTCAGTCTTATTACTTCAATGTATAGAGATACAGAAAGTGAAACCAAGAAAATGACTGCCTAGTTCAGGATCACACAGATATTTTGATGAATTCAGTTCCTGGAAAACTTGTAAATAACAGATATCTGTTTCTCACAGTTTGGAGGCTGGGAAGTCCAGGAGGAAGGTGTGGACAGATTTGGTGTCCAGCAATAGAGGCAAATGCTATGTTCTTGCATGGTGGAAGGCATAGAGGGAACAGAATCAATGTCCACTCCTTGTCCAGTTGAATTCAGGTGTGCTGTGTGATGTCCTCAGAATGGGTCCTTCTGAGTTGAATGTTTCTCAGCTGCTTCTTGCTCAGCCATGCTTCTTTCACTTAGCCAGAGTGACTGGCTATGTTCTCAGTAAAGGAAGCTCTGTGAACCTGGGTCCCAAAATGAAAAGAACCTGGACACGTGTGTATCGTTAAAACAAGACGTGAATCCCTGCTATTGTAAGTCACTGAGATTTAGGGGCCATTTGTATGGTGAAATTGATTCCTCTGCAGTAGTTACCAAGTTTCAAGGCTGTCTGATTTTAAAGTCTATTTCCATGGTTTGAATTTTTGTGTCTCTTCCAAAATTCATGCAGGAAAATTAATTCCCAATGTAGCATTTTAAAGAGGTGAGGCCTTTACAAGGTGGTTAGGGCAGGAGGTCGCTCTCAGGGTTGGTTTAGTGCCTTGTAAAAGAGCTTGAATGAGTGAGTTTGTCCCTTCTATCCTTTCTCCATGTAAGAACAGTGTTTGCCACCTGCCCTGTGAGGACACAGCCACAAAATCCCATCCTGGAAGCAGAAAGTGAGCCTTCCTCCAACACCAAACCTGCTGATGCCTTGATCTTGGATCTCCTGGCCTCCAAATGGTGAGAAACAAATGACTATTATCTACAAGTTACCCACTTTGTGGTATTTTGTTATAGCAGCAGGAACAGACTGAGACACCTGTATTACATATGCTAGTCCACACATGGAAAATATGAAATATCATATTTTTATTATAATTTGACTTCATTTTAAACAAGTTTGTGGAAGTGGGTAGATAATAACATTTACAAAAGAATGGATCATTACTGTCATAGTCTTTTCTTTTTAAGCCACTTATTAGAATACGCTTTATGTCACAGAGAATCATCAATGATAATAAACTTTGTGAACAAATAGCAAGCAATACTATCACAAGGTGTGATGTGGTAGATGTTCATCTATTGCCTTATGTTCTGACAAAAGCCCCAATCAAGTGTGTGTTATTATGTTCATCTTATTTTTTAGATAAGAAAACAGGAAGGACTGGGGCTATGGGTCAGTGATAGAGCACTTGCAGAGCCCCGAGTTTGATTCCCAGAACTGTTTTAAAAAAAGAAGAAGGAGGATAAGGATGATGAGGAGGAGGAGGAAGAAGAGGAGGAGGAGGAAGAAAAGACAGAAAGCTGAGGCAGAAACAATAAATTGAAGAGCTTAGCTTGTATTCGAAGCTGCTGTGAACCTCTACCTTCTTCAGTACATTTTTAATCAACTTGTTAGTTTATTTCAAACATTCATAATCAAAATCAATATTTAATAGTTGGACATTTTAGGATGTTGGAATATAAGTTGAAATTGTACTTCAAAATTTGTATTGTAACTTTTGCTTTATTTGGAGCTTTCAATATAGATAGTTTCTCTGAAACAAGATACTAGTCAATTAAAAGAACAAATCAACCAGATTACTGGGGTTCAAAAAATGTCAGGCTAACTGACCAAATTAATACAGAGACTATAATTACATATACACTATACTGTACATCCTTTGCTGAAGCCACTGGAGTTATTAATAACACTTACATTGTTACCACTTTTTAAAATTTATATCATTGCTTCAACTAAAGTAGAGATAGAGTCATTCTCTCCCATTTTCCTCTCATTTGTGCCACCTTCATACCAGATTAAGTTGTCATCTCCTTGGGTTTTTTTAAGAGCTGAAGATTTTTTTAGAAAAGGATTAGCTCTGAAATTCTAGTACTGTGCAAGTCAAAGTCCTGTCGTGAAGACTGATTTATATTTTGTTTTAGATTTGTGAAAGCAATTAGGGATTGGGCTGGTGCAAGCTGACAGCATAGAACCTTATAATATACTATTTCAGAAGCAAATCAACCTGACTGTGGAACACCACAAAGTGTAAATGATATTCTGGATCCCTTCACAATTCATGGATCTCTTAGGCACATCACATAGCTTTGGAAACTTGTGTTCTTTCTTGGGGCATTGACTGTGATTAGTAATGAATCCTTTCCTCCTGTTTTTTGGAAGTAAGGAAGAGCTGCTGCTTCCCTATGTTACTGAAATAATAAAAATCACTTTTTATGGTACAGTCTTGGTGTTTTAAAGACTTAGGGAATAACCTCTTAAACCATTCATTAGTTTTTTGACTGATGAAAATCTTTAGCACTTTATTTATTTATTTATTTATAGAAAAGTGGGACCCATGGTGCAGGGACTTCTGATGGGGGAGGACTGACAATGAGCAGGCTTCAAGCGTTTATTATATAGGTTTTTATAATAATGGGATTCATTGTGAGAAAGTTACTTTAAAACAGAGCCAAGGTCAATTGTTAGAACAGCCTACTTACAGTCATCAGCTCATAGCACTCTAATTTTACATAGTATTTTGATATATTTATTTTCCTTACTTCTTCTGCATGTGAAAGCTACATTGGTTAGGGTGTAATTTCATGTGTTCACAGTGTATGAACAGGAACATTTATCAGAAGGGTAGTCAACTGAAAAGTCATCGAAATATTGAGGAATTACTCTTTGAATAATATTTCTGTATTTTCCTCTCCTCATTCACTTACTATATTATTTGATTTCAAGTATAAAAAGAAACAAGTCCAGTAACATTCAAATTAGGTTTATGATAAAAATAGAAAGATGGAGACAAAATGATAGCATTGTGAGTTTTACAAACAATTTAATATAATATAGAATCTAAAATTTAGCCTTAATTTTGATTTTAAACTCATATTTTTATCAATAGTAAATCTAATTTATTTTTACTATTTTTACTAATTTATTTTTTAATGAAAAAGTTAATTTTAAGAGCAAAATTATTGATGTGTTCTGGACTTCTCTATGAAAGTATAACATTGTACTCTCTCTGTATTGCATTTCTTGTGCTTTATCCTAAATATGTGAGCCAATGCCATTGGTGTAATATGAAATTCAAATTTAGAAGAAAAACATTAATAACCCAAATATACTTCTAGGAAGACTAAAGGCATAGTGTTAAATGAAAGAGAAGAATGTTTGATTTATTAGAAATTATGGTAAGAATCAAGCATAAATTATTTAAAGATTGATAATTTAATATTGGGACTACTTTTAAAATTTTAAAATATAAACTATGATTTCATAAAAGAAAAAAGAGAGTTCTAACTGAAAATAATTATTCCATCTATGTTATTCCAAAAATTCAAATAATTTTTAAACCAAAACACTTGATGCTTATTCTAAATATAGTTTAAATCCAAACATCAAAAGAACATTTAGAGGCATCTGAGCATTATTTAGGATTGTGGGTTGAGTGGGTACTACTATACAGTCTCACACACACACACATGAAAATACATATATACAAACATAAAGATACATAAATTTAATTTTGTATATATTTATGATATTTTATTCTTTCTATTTATTAAGTATTTAACATAATCAATATGTTATGCTTTATTATTTTATGGACAACAGTATATTTTTATACTGTCAAAAGAAGTTTTGACTTCAAAAGAAGTTGACCAAATTTATCATGATATATGATATTCAAATAATGGCCAAAGAAAATGTTCATTTACATATATGTAGAACTTCTCTACTCAGTAATAGTAAATGACATTTTCATAGTCAGTAATGTTTCTAAGTAGTACATAAAATCTATTCAAAATACTCCTGATTCTAGGAGCTTTCCCTCCACTAGCTTAACTTGATAAAATTTCCTTTTAATTGTTTATTGGAACCTGCAGAATGAGTTCCAAAGGTTTAATAGATAATCATATAATTACTAGTAGTTAGATGTATAAAATATAAGTTCTAATCTAATTATCTATGAAGAAAATAAATTCTTTTGGTTGCAACCATTTAAAACAGACAGACATGTTACTTGATATTCATTTTGACTTACCTATAAAATATTCTAATCTTATCACCAAAACCCACCCACAAATACTACAAATGGTCACAGATCTTATGAGAAAAAAATACAATGTAACTCCTCCTAATATTACATAGACAAAATTGTTAACTTTAACATTGCCTTGTTGAAATATTGCATTAAGTCTTTTGTTATTTGCAAGTTGTTTTCAAAAAGATTAGATTTTTAAAATTAAAGGAGTCCAACAAAAATATTTTGCAAATACAGACTATTCAGTTCATCCACTATATGTTTAGAAAACAGTATTATTTTCATGTATGAATATACACATATGCACACATACCCAAATACACATATATATTTTATTTAGTGAGATCCAAGTACATGAATAAATAAGACAAATTGAATCAATATATACTCAGGACATGTGTCATGTTATTTTTTCAACCGATTCCATTATCAGACATTTGATGATCCATGATAATATTCAGAGAGATGTAAGAAGACATGGAATCTATAAAACTAGGATAGAGTACAATCAAAAAATAACTTTGTGGGAATAATAAACATTTTTAAATTTAAACAGTCAAAAGAAATGTTGGTAGAGAAATGGGTTGGAGGAACTGGCACAGAAAGAGGAATAGGACAATGAAGGGTTAGAATATTGTAGAAACAAGTGTAGTAAATTAGAAGTTTAATTCAGAAGTTTCTGTATTTGTCTAATAGAGTTGTGGTAAAATGGAATGAGAAAACAGCTGAGAGAAAATAACCAGTGAAATACAAAAAAAGCAAGTGCCAGGAGAGATGAATGTAGATATCAGATATATATTTAAAAAAAACAGTTGAGGTCAATAAATGACAAGGAACTTCTATCAAGGCACACTTTCATAGAATTTTAGTCCTCAGAAGCTTCCACAGAGCGAAGAAACATGCAGACAGATTTGAAAATAAGTGTATCATTAAATTTTACAATAGTAGTTCTGAAGCTGAAAGATGATTTCAACCTTAGATGCTTCATCCAACCAAATTGTAAACTAAGACAAGAAGATACAAATAAGAGAGACATTCTTTTTTCATTTTTTTTTAGTTGTAGATGGACACAATACCTTCATTATGTTTATTTATTTTTATGTGGTGCTGAGGATGGAACCCAGTGCCTCACGCATGTGAGGCAAGCGCTCTACGGCTGAGCCACAACCCCAGCCCCCAAGAGAGACATTCTTAAACAAGAAGAATTCATAATGATTTTCCTAATGTGCTTCTGTTAAAAAATCAATGGAAGACATACTTCAGTAAATGAAAATCAGTAAAATATAAGAAAGAAATGGGACATGACAAAAAGGACGTCTAGTAAAGAGGATGTGGGAAATTATTTCTGAGTCAACAGCTGTGCATGAACCTACAGAATCAGGATAGAGTTTCAGGAGGGATAGACCTAAAAGGACACTGAGAGTCAGAAAGTCAGATGTGGTTACCTGCAATAAGAGTTCCCCTGTTCAGTGTGAGAGATTGGCATAGGTTGCTGCTACTTGAAAATTAAGGCAAAGCAAACAAAAATATAGACTATAATAAATTCAAAGAAAAGCACAAAGATATCCAAGAAAAGAAAATATATATGTTACATAGATTCTAAATCTCATCTACAAATGCATAAGAATGTATATATGTAGAATATTCCACAAAAGTGAATATATTGGGAGGATTGAAAATTAATAGTATATGTGTGTAGAATTGAGAAGATGGTAGTGGAAGAAAGTTAAAGCGTAATTTAATTATCTACATTGCAAACCCCGTACCAGGGATTGAACTCAGGGGTACTCAGCCACTGAACCACCTTCCCAGCCTATTTTGTATTTTATTTAGAAACAGAGTCTCACTGAGTTGCTTAGCGCCTCACTTTTGCTGAAATTGGCTTTGAACTCATGATCCTCTTGCCTCAGCCTCCCGAGCCGCTGGGATTACAGGCGTATGCCACCATGCCCAGCTAAAATAAATTTAAAAAAAATGGTATGAAGAGTTGCCTTTGTGGAGTTTGGCAACTGAGTGGTATAAAACATGGGTCTCCCAATTTTTTTTTGCAAGCAAAATTATTTAATTTTTTTTGACTTCTTAAATTATTTTCACATATTTCTTTGATAAAAGTTTAAAAATTCAAAGCAATATTCAGATTGCCTCATCCACTTACTCATAGTTTAATAGTTAATTCTATAAGAAGGCAGAACAAATTCTCTTTGATCAGTATAGTGCATGATATATGAACCAATCCACAGAAGCAGAAAGTATATGTATGTGTCTGTGCATACAACACAGGTGTGTGTGCACATGCCCCAAACCCAAGTTGAATGCTTTGGATGGACTTATTAGATATGAGTCATATTTGAAAAACATCAATACAGAATTAGATATTAGTAATATAGGTGAAAATATAGGTGGGGAAAATGAAAATTTTCACTTGCATTCTTTATTTGGGTTGCTTTGTAAATGTGTCCAAGTTTAGGCTCTCCTCCAAGGGTCAAAATGGTAAAATGTGCACTATGGGTGTGGTTGATACTAGAAAAGTAGCACAAAACACCAAACAAGAGACCTACTCAGGAAATGGAGGCATAGACCAACATAAGGGTTGTGCATTAAAAGAATAATTTTGCCATTTGTAATTTTTATTTTTAAAAATTATTTGTCACAGTCTTTTTGTGATTGACCAAAAACTGGGCTTGATAGAGTTGGATAAGACAGTGCTTGCAGTAATCATGAAGAGCTGGGAGAGCTATTGAGACAGAAGTAACATGATAACAGCCCTTCTCTTAGAAGTTTTAGAGAGCAGTTTTCCTCAATTTTATCCCCCCTTTTCACTGTAGATTGGAAAAAATAAAAGAAAATGTCTATTTCCAACTGTGAGCTCCTTCATTTAGAGCCTGAGATTAGGTTATGGCTGCCTGTTCTACTCCTGGGAGTGGGGGGATTTTCTTGCAAAAAAATCCGTGTGCCAGTTCATCTTGCAGTTTTCTACTTCAGCTTTCTTTGATAACAAGAAGGCAGTATCCTTCTCCTAAATGCAACTCAGCCTTATGTACAAAGGATGAAGACATCTAAACACTTACCAACTTTATTCCCTGAAGAAGCCTCTCCCCCTTTTTTGAGGGAGATTTCCTACAAGGCACAACATTTGTTTTCCCATCTAAATCAAATTCTTCAAAGACAAGAATATGGTTTAATGTCATATTTTTTCTCTTTCCTATTTTCTTTTCTTTTTTTTTTTTACTTCTCACTTTTGGCAAACACAATGCTAGATATTAACTGATCAGTTAATCAGTTTTGGGAAGAGGGTACTAATAATTTTACCTTGAAATTGGCAACATGATCTGATTATTTCAATTACTTTGAACTTTCTCTACCTGAAGTTTTGCTTTTGCAAGATTCACTGAAAGCTTCTATTCTAAAGTCAAGGAGAATTTGGCATAGTTCAGAATTATTTCAGGAATAACAATGACTGGTGGATTTGGTGAAGCACTCCTGTAATCCCAGTGGCTTGGGAGGCTGAGGCAGGAGGATGGCAAGTTGAAAGCCAGCCTCTGCAAAAGCGAGGTACTGAGCAACTCAGTGAGACCCTGTCTCTAAATAAAATACAAAATAGGACTGGGGATGTGGCTCAGTGGCTCAGTGGTCCAGTGCCCCTGACTTCAATTCTGGGTCCTCCCCAACCCCTGCAAAAAAAAAAAAAAAAGAATCACATGACATTTGAGTAAAGAACTAAAAACTGAAGTCCAACATGTTGCTGTTCATGTAAATTCTGTGGTTTCTCCTAAAATTGCAATATTATTTTCTTTGCAGCCGTGGGGAGTGGGGTACATCTTAAACAGAATATTTTCAAGTTCTCTTTTCTATTATTTATGATAGTACTATTAATTCATTTCACTTAAACATACTCTGCATTCACAAAATACATTGTTTCTATAATTACTATAGTCATTTAAAAAATCAATTAGGAATAAGAAAAATAAAAGATTTTATTTTATCTTCAATTATTCATTTTCCAGTGACTTCCTTTCTTTTATGACACTTACTTATTACTTTTATTAACATTTTCAAACTGAAGGACTGTTATTATTTTTTCAGGCCTGGCCTGCTGCCAGCTAATTTTCTTGGGTTTTGTTTGTGTGAGAAATGATTTATTTCTTATTCACTTTTGAAGGATGATTTCATTGGATATAAATTTTTAGGCCAGTGGTTTTCTCTTTCAATACTTAGAATATTTACTACGCTCTATTGTTTGTATGATTTCTTATGAGACGTCCTTCATAATATTTATCTTTGTTCCTCTATAGGTAAGCTTATCTGGGTTTCCTTTTTCATCTTGTTCTAAGATGTGCTCATTGTCTTCTGCATTTTGAATACTGTATGCCTAAATGTAGGATTTTTTAAATGTTTTTCCTATTTGATGTTCTTCAAAATTCTTAGATATATGGTTTGATATCTGCTATGACTTTTGGAACTTTCTTGGCTTTTATTACCTTAAATATCTTTCTGCTGTATTCTCTCTTTTTCTTCTGATATGTTAATTACATGTGTTATATCTTTGAAATTGTCCTATTAAGATATTTTGTTCTGTTTTTTCCCTCATGTCTTTTTTCTCTTCCACTTCCATTTGAGAAGTTTTGTCGACTCATCTTACTGTTAACTAATTTTTTTCTTATCTGTGTCCAGTATGCTGATGAGTTTGTCATAGTTGTTCTTCGTTTCTGTCTTGTTCTTTTGATATCTAGTGTTTGGATTTGTTGAAATGAAATTCTTTAACATATAATTAACCATTTTAAAATGTAAAGTTCAGTGGCATTTAGTGTAGTTATGATGTAGTGCAAAAAACATCTCTCTCTATTTTCAAAACTTCTATCCCTGGAAAAATACCCCATAGTCATTAAGTTATCACTCCCCATTTCCCCTTACCAATCACATCATAATAATCACAGATCTTCTTTCTATCTGTGGATTTGCCTATGCTGGATATATCATATAAAAAGGATGATGGAGGGGCTGGGGTTGTAGCATGTGTGAGGCACTGGGTTTGATTCTCAGCACCAAATATAAATAAATAAAGGTCCATCAACAGCTAATAAAGTATTTTTTTTAAAAAAGGATGATGTAATATGTAATTTTAGTATTTTGTTTCTGTCACCTGGTATAATGTTTTTGAGGTTCATCTAAATTGCAACATATATCAGTACTTTGTTACTTTTATGACTGAATGATATTTCATTGCATGTATTAACACAAATTGTTTCTTTGCTAGTCTGTTGATGAACATTTTGGTTTTTTCACTTTAGTTTTATGAGAAATGTTGATATAAACATTCATTTACAAATTCCTTCGTGAAATTATGCTTTTAATTATTTTGGGTATATTGCTAAGAGTAGAATTTATGAATCATAAGATAATTCTATATTTGAACTTTTGAAGAGCTGCCAAACTTTCTACAGCAGCTGCTTGATTTTACATTCCTGGCAACAATGTACAATGGTTCCCATTTCCATTTCTCCACATTCTTGCCAACACCTGTTGTTTCCCATTGTTTTTGTTTAAAATTATCCTAATCTGATTTGCTTTCCATAATAACCAGTGGTATTGAACATCATTTCACATACCTGTTGGTCATCCCTTCTTCTTTGAAGGAATAACTATTCAGGTCCTTTGCTCATTTTGAAATTGTGTTGTTGCTCTTTCTATTGTTGAGTAGTAACTATTCTTTATATATCATGGATATTAAATTTTATCAGATAGGATTTGAAAATATTTTCTTCCATTCTATAGCTTATCTTTTCACTTTCTTGATAAAGCCCTTTGTTGAGAAAAAATGTTTTCAACAAAAGAATCTGTTGCTATATCCCAAAGCATGAAGATTTTTTCTTACAGTTTCCATATTCTGTGCATATTACCCATGAGTTCCTTCATGTACACAACTTCTTCAGGTAGAACCTTTAACATATAAATTATAGCTATTTTAGATTCCCTACCTGATAACTTCAAATCAGTATCATACCTGTGTGTGGCTCTGATGGTTTATTTCTTCAAATTATTTTTAATTTGTGTGGGGGTTATGGATTCTAGCTTTTTCCCCCCTGAAAACTAGGCTTATTGCATTGAGTAATTAGTACTGAGTTCATGGAATTTAACTGTGAAGATTTATGTTAATATGAGTATGAGTTAGGTTCTGTTAATGTTTACTGTGTTCATGTTTTTGTGCCAGAGGTTTCCCTCTAGTGCACTTGTGCTTGACTCCTGTGTTACCTGTGAGCTTCCCCAAGAAGTCTCCTTTATCCAGAGTCTGAGTCCTATAGCTCTTGAGGTATGGTTCTCTGCTATTACACTGGAGACTTGTTGGTGTTCTGGTAGGGTGGAGGGGAAGTGCCCTCTACATTTTATGATTCTGTCCTAGTCTTTTAATGAGCCTATGTCCTGGGTGTGACATTCACAAGTGTCTTACTTCCTGTCCCCCCTCTAAGGTGAGACAGGAAGAGAGAGCTAGAATGAGGAAAATTATCTGGCCTTAGATGAGAGAAGACTCTGGGAAAATCTGTTCCCCTGAAGTGTAGGTCTCTGTTATGGAGAACATCATGGTTTTATTTCCCCCATGCTTACTCTTCTCCTTCCACAGCAGAGCAAGGAGAGAAATTTCCCATTAAAACGTGGTGGTATTCCTAAAAGTAAAAATCCATGAAAGTGTAGGGACCTGCAGGACAGTCCTCTGGGTGGCCTTGAGACTGACATAGCTCTCTCCTTCTTTCCTTGCTTAAACTTCTTAAGAATAACCATGGTATGTGCTGGAAATACAATATCCAGAGTCAAGGAAGAACTTAAACCCAATAGCCCAGGGCTTGTTCCTGTCTCTCCTAGGGAATGTAGCATCTTGAATTAGAAAGGAACTGCACAAGTCAACCTTAGTTTGTTTCCCTCTCACCTGAAAGCAGGATGCTCTTCCATGTTTTGCCAATGAGTTCCAGGATCCCTGCAGTAACTCAGGACAGGCTCCCTTTCAAAATCCCTGTGATGTGGTATAAGTGAGCACAGGTAAGTTTCTATCCAATCTGGGCAACTTTCCTTAGCTTTGGCTTTGTAAGACTCAGCTCATAATGGATCCTCGGTTCCTTTTGTCCCTTGCTGCTTAAATATATATGAAATAAATCCAATTTATATAACCTTGTCTATGCATATATTCATCTCATGGACTCAGTTAAGTGAGTATCTACTGGATGGTGAACCAGTTTCTTAGATCCCACTAAAACTGTAGTCTTTAGAAACTTCTTTCTCATGTCATATTACATTCAGCCTCCAGCAATTCATCAAAATCACCATTAAGTATTTTCTCATGTCTATGACTTTGCTGGCTTCTGTTCTAGGTAAGCAGGTGTCAGATGGAACTGGGATTTCCCTGTTTCTCCAAATTTGGGGGGATGGTTTTCCCTACTACTTTATTTGTTTGACAGGATCAAGAAAACACAATGGTTTTAATTTCTTTCAGGCGTTTCATGTTTGTGCCTTAGAGTGATATTTATCAAATTCTTTATATGTTGGAACTATAACAGGAAGTCTCTAGTAGAAAACTTCTTGTGTTTCCTGTCAGATTGCCAGAATAGGCTTCATAATCTGTTCTCTCTATGCTTTCACAGTGGTTCTCTATCATCTATGGTTACAAATGCTTATATGCATCCTAAAGTAATATACTCCTGGAAGGTATTGTTCTAGTTACTCTCCCAGTGGCATTTGGCCTCAAGTTTCCTGCATGGTTTGTGGCTGTACTTAATCTCTAGACCTGTTATCTTTATTATTGGAAGGATCACCCATCCAATCCTCCTAGCTCTATATATTTCAGCACTGCATAATTTATAATCATGAATAATTTTTTTTATTTCTGATCATAATGCATATGACCAAGTGGGTTTGTATTTTATAAACCTTAGGTTTAATCTTTCTAGGCCTTGCTGAGTGACTTTAATAGTTTAACCTATTACAGGCATGGTGGATAGAAATATAATGCTAAAAGCTTAGTTGTAAAAAAGCTTTTTCTAGGAATGAACCTAAATTACTATATCAAGCCCTTACTTTATATATGTGGCAGAAAATTGGTCTTAATAAATTTAAGTTGTGCTTGGTCCACTGAGGTTTTTATCCATATTTTTATTGCACTGAATTACCCTGAGAGCTTATACAAGTAGGTGTTGTTTTTCAAGTTGAAATGGACTGATTCCTTGAAAAATTCAATTTAACAAGTTTTAGTCATTTTCTGAGAATTTTCATCACAAGTTCATTGTGGATTTTGTCATTTTTTTTCACAACTACTGACAAACTAATGTTATTTTTCTTTTTTAGCCTGGTGATATGATTGACATAGATGTTGAACCAGCATTGCATACCTGGGATAAATTAAAGCTACTTGTGATTCTTTTTATATAGTGTTGTACTTAATTTGCTGATATTTTGCTGAAGATTTTTGCATCAATTTTTGTGAAAGATATTGTTCTGGAGACTTTTCTTGTAATATATGATTTAATATTATGGTAATATTGAGCTCATAGAAAAAGATAGGAAGTATTCCTTCTGCTTCTACTTTCTGAAACACATTGTAGAGAATTAGAAATTCCTTAAAAGTTTACTGTATATTTCATCAGTAAACTCATCTGGCCCTGGTGTTTTTTGTTTAGAAGTTTATTATTTAATGATTTAATTTCTCTAATAGACATAGATCTACTCAATATATCTATTTCATCCTGTGTGAATTTTGGTAAATTGAGTCTTACAAGCAATTGGTACATTTCATCTAGACACTCAAGTTTGTGAGTGTCAAGGTCAAGCTTGTCAGTTATTCTTTTATCATACAGGTGATTTTTGACTTATAATGGGTTTGCATCCAAACTTATCATTAGCTGCAAATCTCATTAAGTAAAAAATGCATTGACATTCCTAATGTACCAGACATCATAACTTAGCACCACACAAACACTGCAGAGTGTCAGTTTTTTACTCTCATGATATCATGACTGCCTGGGGTCTGTGGTTCACTGCCACTGCCCACCATAGTGATAGAGTGTCCTAGTGCATATTAGACCCAAATTCAAAATTCAAGTGTATGGTGTCTACTAAATGCATATGACTTTCACACCATCATAGAGTCAGGAAATTACAAGTCAGGGATCATCTGTACTCTTAATGTCCTTTGCAACTGTAGTGTTGTCATATCTTGCATTTCTAATGAATAATGTATTCGCTCTCTTTTTTTTACTCTGTCTAGAGGCTTATTGATTTTACTGATCTTTTCAAAGAACAACTTTCAGATTTAGTTGATTTTCTCTATTGATTTCTTGTTTTTAATTTTACGAATGTCTGCTCTAATTTTTATTTTTCTTCTACTTTCTTTGAATTCTACTTACTCTTCTTACTCTTCTTTTTTTGAGTTTCCTACAATGGAGGCTGAGATTACTGATTTCCTATCTTCCTTCTTTTCTAATGTATGCACTCAATGCTATAAATTTCTCCCAAAGTACAGCTTCATTGTATCTCACATACTTTCAAAAATTGCATTTTCATTTTAACTCAGTTGAAGATGTATTTTATTTTTCTAGAGATTTCTTCATTGATCCATTTGTTATTTAGAAATGTTTTGTTTACAAGTTATTTGGTATTTTCTAGCTTTCTGTTATTGATTCCTAGTTTAATTCATTGTGGTGTGAGAGCAGACATTATGTCATTTGTATTCTTTTAAATTGGTTAAGAAGTGTTTTATGAACTATCTGGTCATATCTGATAACATGATTGACTGGGATCTGTGGTTCACAGCCACTGTGACCTACGTAGTGAATTCCAGGTGAGTTTGAGAAGACTACATGTTATTCTGTTTTGGATTACTCTATAGATGACAATTTTGTCCAGTTGATAAATGGTACTGTTGAGTTCAGCTATGTCCTTACCATTTTTTTGGTCTTCTGCATCTGTTCCATTATGGATGAAGGGACATTAAATATTCCAACTGTATAGTGATTTCATTTATTTCTTTCTGCTTGCAGCTTTGTGTATCATGCAATTTGATCCTGTTTTTAGGCATAGATACGTTGAAGATTGTTGTGTCTTATTGAAAAATTAACCTCTTCATCATTAAATGATGGCTCTCTTTATCCCTGAGAGTTGTCACTGCTCTGAAGTTTGCTCTCCATGAAATTAGTATAGCTATACCTGCTTTCTTTTAATTAGCCTTAGTATGGTATATCTTTCTCCATCTCTTTGTTTTTAATCTGTATGTATCTTTATATTAAACTGAGTTTCTGATAGAAAACATACAGTTGGGGCATATGTGTTTTAAGTTGGTGTATTTTAAGTGATCTTGATATAGTTGAGTTCAAATTTACAATATTTGTTACTATTTTTATTTGTGGTCTCTATTACTTAGATTACTGATTTTAAATCTTCCTTTTCTAATGTATACATTCAATTTAAATAAACCATAGCCATAATTACGGTTTTCGCTCTAATTCATCTTCTACTCTTTTACTGCCTTTTGTGGTTTTAATAAGCATTTTGGGTGACTTCACTTTTGTTTCTTAGCATCAGTGATTCTTCTTCTTCTTCCTCTTCCTCCTCCTCCTCCTCCTCCTCCTCCTCCTCCTCCTCCTCTTCTTCTTCTTCTTCTTCTTCTTCTTCTTCTTTTTCTTCACTGCTTTCAATGATTGATCCAGTTTCCCCTGCACATTTAAAACTAATCTAAGTCTACTTTCAAAAAACCTTATAACTGTGTGAAGTAATGCAAGTAATTTATACAGACAAAATGATCCTAATTTCTCCTTTATATCAGTTGTCATGTGTTTTATCAGCATATATACATTAGTTATTATACTCATAAACATTCACGACCGAAAACATTGTTGCTATTATTACTTTGAACTAACCTTATCTGTTCGGTAAATTAAGTACAAGAATGGTAATTTTTTTTAAAAAATTCAGTCACTTATTCTTTTTCTAATAATCTTCTTTACATAGTTCTGAGTCTTTGACCAATATAATTTGACTTCTTTCTGAAAATCTTCTTTTAACAATTTTTGCAAGACAGGTCTTTAGTTTGCCTGGAAAAGTAATTTCATAGTGAACAGAATTCTACCTTGTTTTTTTTTCTCTTGACACTTTAAATATTTCACTGTCACTCTCTTCTTCCTTGTGTTTATTGTTCCTTAGGACCATGCAGATATCATTCTTATTTTTGCTTTTCTATAGGTAAGAATTTTCTTCCATCTTCTTTTAATAGTTTTTCTTTAAATTTGATTTTCTGCACACTTACATGCTGCCTATGTATATATTTTTGTTTGTTTTATTTTGCTTTTATTCTGCATTATATTTTCTGGTCTTCAGCCTCACTGAATTGGTAGTTTAATGTCTGATCATATTTGCCTCCAGAAAGTCATTTATAGTTTTTCTACCATACCTTTGTTTTTAAAGCTTAATTGATATTTATGGAGTATCATGTGATGTTTCAATACACGTACATAGAGTAATGATCAAATCAGTGTAATTAGCATACCTCTGGTTCTTGTGAAGATTTCGGTCTGCTTTCTATGGAAATTTCTGCTCCAGTAGGTTGTGATATTATGTATCTGCCTGTCTGTTTTCTCAGTTTTGAGGCGTGGTGGTCTGCATTGTAACCTCACTTCCCTGATAGATCTAAGTTGTGTTGTTGATTTTTCAGCCTTTACTTCTGTTAGGAACAACTGACAACTTTCAAATTCCTTACATATCAGAACTGGACCTAAGATTTTTAAAAACAGTTTTTCCCCTGTAGATTGTGATCTTCTTTGGCTCAAATTAAATCAAGAATAGTCAATATAACACTTCCCAGACTCAGATTATTTCCAATAACTAGCTTCTCATTGATTAAAAATGTGTAAATCAATTGCATTTTCATGTTGCTTTTTAATTGAAGAAAATGATGTATAGTTATAGTGTTTGGGGATGGTAATATATTTGATATCAAGTCCACAGTCTTCCTACAAGAGTGTTTTTTAG